GATTACACGACATTTGAAAAATGGCAAAAAGGAGGGAAAATTCAAAAGGTGGGGTTGAGATGGGAAGTTGGTGTCCGAGTGGATCGAGGTCACGATAGCTCAAGTGGTAGAGCAACGGCGTATTTAGCCGAGGGTCGTGGGTTCGAATCCCGTTCGTGCCATTGACTTTTTTATCTCAACTAAAACCCTTAATTAATGGTAAATAGAATATAGACATAGTTTGGGGCTGAAATGACGTAGATGTCCGAAGCCCCAGCCAAAAAAAAAGAAAGATTTCAACAAATATATTTCCATCTTGTAGTAAGAGAAAGAGGAGGTCCTCAAAGAACTATAATTATCATTCGTATAAACATCATTATATAATAATATTAAACGGTGTGGTCCATTTAAAAAGATCCAATGGGGCACGACAGATAAAGAAAGCGTAAAAAAAAGAACAAGAAAGATATAGTATTAAACAGTTGAATTTTAAAAGATAATTATTCGATAACGCCAAAGAGAGAATTATCCGCGGGAATAAGTACATTACTAAAGAACGATAAGAAATCTCGTCATAGCTTTTATTTTAAACACAAAGAAAATCGACTGATTTACTCGGATGATTGACCTGTTTCAATTATCTGCGAATTAGATGTTGATTAAATTCATGCTTGAAAAAAAGGAACGATAATTTTACTTCTTAGCGTATCATGAGTCGCTGATGGATGATGGATCGTCTTATATACTTCCGGCCACTGTAGGAACTTGATAGAATCTGGTTGACGGACCTGGAACCTCCACACGTTTTTCTCTTTATAGGAGATGAACAAAAAACAACCTCAGAAGAGGGGAGGCCTTATCTCTTAACTCCCGGCATTAATAACGACTAATTAGTCCGTCCAAGTTAAGAAGAAAAGCCAAACAAGTATCAGATTCTGAGAGTAAGGGGAGAAAATATTCATCGGACAGATATAAGCAATACATTTGATCGTTTAGAGAAAACGAAAAAAAAATCCTACTGCGAATCCTCAACGATTCAGTCAAGCCGAAGGTCGTGGGTTCCAATCCCGCCCGTGACACTGACTTTGTCATTGCAACCAATACCTTACATAAAGGTTATTTATACATAAAGATTAATTAATTGAAATTCAGTCAAGTTTGAACAAATCGGCTAAGGAAAAGGACAAAGAATTAAGATCATCAAACACGCGTACGCAATACAATACGGACACAGGGCTTTTACTCCTGACAACAATAACACACAGACCAACAAGCGAAGATCATAAAATACTAAAACACACAGTGGGTACAGATGGACCAGGATGTTCAGGGACGAAGCTATAGGAAATACCCTGGACATGACCTAACTACCTTCGAAACCTTCCTCAGAAAGCCATAGTCTTTTCAACCAGAATATATTGGATGTGTGCATAAGTTTTTCGCTTTTCAAAAACAAGTCAAATTTACAAAATATAAATTTATTTTATTTTTAATCCAGATCATTATTTCCTTCATTTTCTATAACATTTTTTATTAATTATGGATACAAGGAACTGGAGGAGTTCCCATTGAGCACTGCAGCTTTACAAATTATAGTACTCCTTCTTGGCTCCATTTTTGAGAGCTCGCAACAACATGTGTGTAAATTGAGTGGTGTGCCCGAGTTCTTCCATCGAAGAAATTCATTTTTGTAGGGGTCGAATTGTAATTCAGGGACTGTCAGACCTTCCAATGACGAGTGTCGTGTCAACTTTAATCGCGGCCACCGCTCCCCTTATACGTCACGAAAGTCCAAAGGCGACGGTGGGAATCGAACCCACGATCGAGGGATCAACTAGCCGATAGTCTCACACCTTAACCATTCGCTAACGCATTCCCCTTTCTACAACACACTGCCAACGTTCTGATAGCGGAAATAACCCCTTTTTGTAAAAGTCAGATGTCTTAGACGAGAAGAAATCTGTAAGTCAGATTTTCAGAGAGTTTGCGTTAAAAAGATTCTCTACCTTTTAAGTGTTTGCCTAGCGAATGGAACACGTCCAAATCAGAAGGGTCAAGGTCTAGAGTGTAAGGAGGATGGAGCCTGTTCTCTGAATGAGTGTAACTGTGTGAAGCTTGTCTTTGTCATGGTGAAACTCGACGTTCGTCTAATCAGGACTGGACGTTCTTCCCTTCGACACTGACCCAAAACGCTCTTGCTGGGCATAGTACACCTCTGCAGTAAGAGTTTGGTTACGTGGAGATCCCACCCCCAGATAAACCCATCGTGTTTATTCCTATTCAGGTGTGAAACGCGCCAAGCCATGCGGTCTTCCTTTCTTCAAAGGAGGTGGACGTATTCAATCACTATTCTCATTCCTAAAGCTCATAAACCTCTTTAGTGACTGGGATGTTTGGTTACCCTGAGAAGGTCCAGTGTTATGGTTGAAGGAAGATAATCACGTCGGAGTTTTACTGATATACATTTTTTCACTGACTGACCACAAACCTGATACACTGTCCATCCTTTAGTGACCTAAAAGGTGTTATGGGTGCAACCGATGGTTGGAGTCCGTAGACAGATGTGCGAGAGATGATGCTGCAGTACCGTGCTTATAAACGAGAATTAAATAAGCAGGTTGAGTCTGTGCTTATATATAGAGCTGAAGCAAACACATTAGCTGCAGCGTGGAAGGTAAGACCATTGTTGAAGCAGTGGACCATAGATGGTCACCACACCTCTTTAGCAAATATCGACCTACAGACCCATCAGCTTTCTATCTGTGATATCTAAAATCCTCGAATCCTTTTGAAATTTTAGTACTCATAGATTGACATAAAATCATTCCTTCTCACCGATATGGCTTCCGTACTCATCATCAGAGTTGTGGACACATTCCCATTCTATCTAGGGATCAAAGAGTGGATGGATGTGGCCAGGCTATCCATAGGGTCTGATACCCAGGAATCCCATATAAACTTGCCTACCTGTTTTCACC